CCCGCACAGGGACCCACACCCCCCCGCACCCCGGGCACGCAGACATACCCGCCGTGCGGCACATTCCCCTTCCATTCATTCGCCCTCGGGTCCTGCCCTGGCCAAGGACGTGCCTGTCGCTGATGCCGCCCCCGAGTCCAGGCACCGTCATGAAACCGGGCTCATGGAAATAAGTCGAGAAAAACAAAGCGTGATGGTGTTTAATAAAGGCCTTTGTTATTCGTCTGTTTGCGACGCGTGTAGGGGGAGCGAACGTACATAGTTATCTGATACTCAGTGAAGTGACTCGAACGCTGTTCGCGGGAGGTTCTGCACTTCCCCGCAGAGCACTCGAGCTGCAGGAGCAGCTGCCTTCCCCCCCCAGCAGCCAGCTCGGCCGGTAGCAGGGCAGCCTGGAAAACCCGCGTGTTTTCTGACTCTGGGAACTCCTGCACACAGAGGGCAGGCAGCCTTAGGTGTGCACACCGGTCCTCACGGGGGGCCTGCAACACGGCACTTTTCTAGGAGGAACCGAGTTAGTGACTTATCCAGGTCTCACCCTGGAGGAAGTGTGAACTCCAGTTCATTTCTCAGTCGAGCATATTTTGGTTTGGGTGCCTTTGCCTGCATCAGGCAAGCCCTAACTGAGACCTTAACTTTGTTCTGCAAGGTAATGTAGCAATAACATAGTTGTAAAATCCTTAATAATAAACCTTGGCTTCTTAATTTGTCAGTTTGTTTCCCCTACGTGCTTACTGTGCTTTCAATTCACACAGAACAAAAAAGTTTCTATAAAGTACCACGTTGCAGCAAAACACCTTGGACATAGTGGAGCAATCCCAGCTGTGTTGTTCTTCATGGTGTCCCACTGGTCACTCACTGCAAGCTCTGTCTCACCAATCAAAAAGAGCTCACAGTATCTGCTCAGCAGGCAGTCTGGAAGCTATGAATTTTAGGATGAGGTCCTACAACAATATTTTTAAGTACCATGACATCTGGAGACATATTCATCTAATACAAATAACTTACAACAGTCCAGTCTCTATTTTTCAGAAACCTTAATACATAGTTTTAAGCTTTAATAGGAAACTACAGAAACTACAGGAATACTCCTCAGGGGGAAAAAAGTGCAGCAATTGAAACTGGAAAACACTGCTGGTTAGCCAGCTCAAGAACCTTACCAGCCTGCAGTGTAGTGCTCTGTTTAATAAAGAATGTCCTTGAAATTTCTTACAAGGGTCAGCAGAAAACAAAGCCCTCAGTCAGCCCATTGTAATGGAAATGCAAAAGAACTTCCGGGAAACTTTGTAGCTGTGGCCAGGATTATTGGAGTCATAAATAACAACACTAATATATGCACGGTGATCTGTACCAGTTAATGAAAAGAGCCTCAAACAAAGTACTGGAATTTTAATGTGACCAAAGTTATACACACCTAAAACCAAGAAGATACTGCATTCTGTATCTTAGAGGGTGTTGTTACCTGTTCAGTGTGAGCTCTTGCTCTGACAGCTGTGGCTAGGAGGAATAAAACTGTGTTTTGATATAAAAAAGTACTCACTTGGGACCACTACAAGAAATACTGTATTCTGGTGTCTACCCTTAAATTCTTGACGTTATTTGTCATATGGGGTTGGGAAATTGTCTGAAGGGGTTAAGGAGCCAGCAGATTGGCAGGCAGCTGCACCCTATAAGCAACTTGATGAGGCAGAGATAAAAATCTGCTTTCAGCTGAAGGTTTTAGAGATTGAAGGGAAAATCAGAACCAGCTGGTTAGCAGAGGCTTCAGTTTTCTGATCTTCCCCTTTGAAGGAAGAGCCTTAATGCATATGAGGTTTGTGGAAGGTTCCTGTCTGCAGACACTGATCCAGACTGTCCAGTGCAGCCACTTTGTACCTATTAACCTCTTAACCCTGGGCTACCTGGATCAGGCTGTGCTGATAGTGGGACAACACCTGCCAGAGTAGGGAATTTAAGGAAGACACTGCCTCTCTCCTCATTCCAAATGGCTGGGACAGCCTGGCTACCAGCTCTGCTCTTATTTAACCAACAAAAGCACAATGCCATTAGTTGCCTCTACAGATGAAGCAGAGTATTTTCAGACAGGATGGCAAGTGTCTAGAACTAGCTGTTTGATAATTGACTTTTAAAGAAGTGTTTATAGCAAAAATTACTTTGTGATAGTCGTAGCCTATTTTACACAGATCAGGCCTCATGATCTTGACTTTTATTTCACTGCTTGAATGAGCAAACTGTACTTCCTGATTTGAAAGTCTTTGATTTTTTCCCCAAAGCTTTTATTTCTCAACTGCCTTTTTGCCCTTAATGCTGTATGGATACATGTGTAATATTTGTCATCAGTCAGAAAACAGAAAATGCTTTACCGGAAGTAGAGAGGTCAGTAGAATTGGTCAGAAGATGAAACCAGACTTTGCTTTTAACATGAATATATAAGGATCGAAAAGTGACAGGTCAGGGAGAGGAGGAAGAATGTAAATGCTTCTAGGCAGTGAAGTTAAACAGACTCTTGCAAACACAGGTGGCAGGCAGCCTGACACCTGGGAAAACAGAAAATCTGATCTTTTGACTGCAAAGCTGGTACATTATAATAAAATAGTGCTTACTTGCTTTAGAATATCCTTTGTCCTCTGACTCCTCTTTCTTTCATCAAACAACTACAGATGCTCTGCATACAGACACCTCTGGAACTCAAGGATATCAGATCTCCTGCTTGAACCTCCTGAAACAGATACACGTGTATGTACCATGCAAACATACACTGGGGTAGAGGGATTAGAGGAGCCACTAGGAGATGAGCGGGGAAGGGGAAACAACAGATCAGCACTGAGAAAAGGTCTGACTGGGGAAAACCTGGCCAGTGTAGAGGGAGCCTTGGCTCTGTGGCAACTGGAGCCCCATCTGCTGCATTCCCACAGCAATTTCAGGAGAGAGAATAGAGAAAGGATGACAGATTGTTCTTTGTACTGCTTGATCCTCTGCCCTTCTGGTCCCAGCCACTGCAATCACAACATACTCTATTTCCCACGAGAAAGGAAAAAGCACCTCTTCTTGGAAATACCTTGATATTGTCTTAGGACAGCACTAGTTGGCTATTTATGTTTCAACAAAAAATATAAGAACAACTATTCCAGTTCAGATCAAGAGGCCATCTAGATGTCAAGCAGTAGCAGATACCCATGCTAAAGAACTGTCAGTATATTCCAGAAAGGGTCTGAAGAGGACAAGCCTCTTGTGAAACACTGCTCTCTCAATACTCTCCCACTCTCCAACTATTTTCAGCTCTGGGTATTTCATAAGGACAGTATGGGGGTTTTTTCTCACCAATGTCCTCCAGTCTCATATACAGGGACTAGCTCAGGATGTTCCTTGAATTCACATGAACTTCTTGCACCCACAAAGTCCTCTGGAACTTCAGTAGATCTGCTACACGAAGAACCTCCTCTTGATCCTGACAGTCCCTGGTTCTCCCGTGGAACTTAATCATTTCTCCATTATGTTCACTCACTTCCAGGCTGGAAAAAAAACAACCTTATTCAATCTTCTTCATAGAGATGCTATTCCATTAATGCCCTTTTAATGGCCCTTTTCCAGTTCTAATAGATCATTGCACACTGTTCCAGATGTGGAAAAATAATGGATTTATATAACAGTGCAATAATGTTTACTTTTTTGTTCTCTGTGATTGTTCCAATAGCTGCTGATGTTTGGCTTCTTCTGACTGCCACTAAGCTGACATTTTTTTGGAGTTGCATCTCATGACTGTCTTGCACTAGAGCAGCACTGGGCTGCTCAGAGCCCATCATTTCATATGTTCCATACAGGCACTACTGTATACTCATCCACAAAGACTTTTTATCTGCTGTCTTATTTTATTTAGAAATTTATTTTAACAAGGGACCTTGCATTGCATAGCTATCAGGATAGATCTGAAATGCTTCCTGTGTGATTTTAGGATTTTAATTCTCTGTATACATTACAGTGTTTCAGTGGCAAGAAAATTCAGCAAACAGAAAGGGTTAAACAGAGTTTAGGGTATGTTTTAAAGACTGTAATTTACTGTGCTAGTATTAACTAACAATCAGACCATAAAGTGCTTGTTAAAAGTTTGAAGAAAAGCTCTCTTATCCTATGAATATATTCCTTGTAATAAATTGTAATATCAGCTGATGTTTATATACTTCAAAAGGAAACCTAAATCCTTGGAACACACAAAATATTTTAAAAAGCTAGGATGATTTCTCAACTAAAATTAGATTAGAAACACACTCCTACTTTTGCTTTACTAGCAGTGGGGAAAAATAACCTTTGTATTATAATAACACTACACAGAGTGCCAAACTAGAATACAATTACTTTGTTGTATACAGACACTGCTTTCTGATGGCTGTCAGTGTCTTCAGCAACTCAGAAGCTCAAAATCATGTACTTCATTCTATGCAAGGAAATAATACAGTATTGTACTTACCCTTAAACACAAGAACTGTTGAGGTTATTTAACAGCCCATTTACTTTGGTTTAGATAACTGATACTATGCACGAGATTGGTGATCAAACAGAAATAAAACAAACATGCTGAGAAACTTTTCTCAAATCCATTACAGGCCTTATTCAGTATGCTAAGGAGTGAAAGCCTCCTTTTAATGAAACACCACCAGTCATCATTCACCAAATTTCACCTGCAAAAAATAACTGAAGAATATAATATTGTACATAAAAGATGGAATTTTACCCAACAATAAGGCTTAGTACAAAATAAATGGCAAAAGGTGATGCTAAACTTTCATGACACTGCAAAAGCTCTCTGAGCACCTCTCAGTGATATCTGTATCATGCTGCCACTTCTAATTTATATTTTGGTGATGCTCTAAGAAAACTGATAAAGGAGAAGGGCCTGCAGTCATGGGGAACAGTAGGGAACAGCTGATCTGTGGAGCAAGATACTTCTAAGGTTCATGCCAAGAAAAGATATTACATTCATTATGACCAAAGAGCAGGAAATTAATTCTGTTCCAAAGCAACAATTTGCATTTCCCTCTCCTGGACAGACTGCCTAAGGAAAAATCCTCTTTATTAAAGGAGATAAAGGAGGTGCTACTGTGACACACTTCCAAATAAATATTGGTACCTTGGATTTTTAGGGAACAAGATGGG